AGCTACACTGGTGCCACCTGCCATAACTGTGAGTAGATTCATTGTTTGCCCATAGTGAAATTGGCAAAACTCCAGGAATACCATTGTTAATGTCAGGATGTATTCAGCAGGAGACAGGCACTTTTTATTTATTCATCCAACACATATTTTTTGAGAGGATATTACATGTCAAACAATTTGGTGGGCACAAAGCATACGTGGATACAAGCCATATCCTTGTGGAGTTAATGATCTACCAGTAAGACAGAAAGAAGTGAAGTAACGTCAATGTAGTTAGACAAGTGTTGAGGTAGAGGTAAGAAGTGGTACTGTAGGCATGTGAGGGAGAACTATTAAGTCAGTTGCATTGTCTGGATGAGATTGATGCTGCTGCCGTAATAAGCAACCTAATGTCTCAAGGGTGTAAGTAACAAGTGGTCATGGCATGCCTCTGTGATGTGCCCATCACATGTTTGTAAGGGGCCTTCTTCCACACTGTCCTCATTTTTGGAAGGTGAGAGAGGTTCCATCATTTGGAATGTTGTCATGGTAGGGAGAAGAAAATACAGGGAAGCATGTGCTAGCTTTTAAAAGCTTCTATCTAGGGCCGGCCCGGTGGTGCACTCAGTAGAGTGCGGTGCTTGGGAGCATGGAGGCCCTCCCGCCGAGGGTTCGGATCCCATATAGAGACCGGTCCGCTCACTGGTTGAGCGCAGTGGGGGCGCGACACCAAGGGTTGCGATTCCGTTACCGGTCACGAAAAAAGACAAAAAAAAAATAAAGCTTCTATCTAGAAGTAGTAAACGTTACTTCTACTCACATTCCATTGGTCAAGTAAAGTCATGTGGTCACACTCTGTTTCAGTAGGGAATAAAGTGCAATCTTACTGTGCAATGTGAGACACCAGAAGCTGAGTATTGGTGATAAGTACTGATGATTACCTGTCAATCTCGGGTGTTAGGGAAACTTCAAATACAAGGCCTCAGCTGATATGGTGGTAGGAATATGGCATGGAACAAAAGAAAAAAGATACCCAGAAGCAAAAGAACAAATGGAGGCATAAAACATAATGGTTTTTTATGAGAAGTCTGAATTTGCAAATAGTTGTGCCTGGTTGGAGGGTGTGGATGGTGAGGAGGAGTGGTTAAGGGAGGAGGCGGGGAGTGAGGCAGGCCACGACATGCAAATAACAAGGAGTAAGGAATAGGAGATAAATGAATATGAACTCTGTTTCCCAAAATGTTACCGTTTGTTGGGACCACTGAACAAAACACAGACAAAGTAGAGAAAGGCTTTCATGTAGAGAACTGTATGCCAAACCGTGAAATGGGCTCTAAGTGTGACTGAGAAAGGCACATCTGAAGGTGCTGGCTGTAGTTGTAGTTTTTATGGAAAACATAAAATTTGAAGTTGGCTTAGAAGATAGAGAGATGGGAAAAGGATCTCCTAGAAAGACAGAAGAGCCAAGGCCTGGAGCTTTTCTGATAAAGACAGTGAGACAACTCAGAGGCAGATCTCTCCAGTTTTTCTTGTTTCTTCTGTTGCTAGACTGGCACTCAGGGATGCAGAAATGGAATGGTAGATTCCAGCAGGGCTGAAATCAGACTGATCAAGGATGAGCAATGTTGATACTCTCATCCTTGAAAATCTTTCAGCCATTTCATGGCCTCTTCTATGTAGTGGAATGCAGCACTCACCAGTGAAGCCCACAGAGGAGTCTAATCAAGGCAGAGAAGAGATAGTCCAATGGCCATCATGGATTGATGTTGTTGTTATTGCTGCTAGTTGCCTGGGGAAACAAAAAACATTGTCTAGCTTTATAATAATGTATCTTGTTTTGTTTTGGGGTTTTTTTAATTTATAAATTTGAAATAGTGAAGAGAATACTAGAATGACAGATCGGATTTAA